CTATATATATATATTCTTATATATAAATATATATATATAGTATTTTTGGTATTGAACAAGTGAGACTTTGACCACTGATGAGGCTGACCTAATGAAAAGTGACATTCCCAGCTGACACACAATAACCTGACATGAAGAGTGACAGTGAAGCGGAATGCTTTATAAACACATCCAGACAGGCTGACATCATTCCCTCTGAGCTTGTTGCTTTGGATACCAGATCTGAAAAGGAAGCTAACAATAGGAGGTCAAAGTTCACTGGGCTATAATGGAAGTGTGCAAATGGGAGAAAACTCATTTACAAGAGAAAAGGTCACCGCTTAGTAGATCTAAATATGTACGTTTCTTTACTGCTTTCCTAAAATATTGAAGCATTTTCAGACGATGTCAAAGTTCACTGCCTTTTAAAAATATTTACACTTTTTAACATTTTCACATTTTGTCACATCATAGCAATGACATCAGTTTATTTTATAGGAAATGTACATGGTAGTCCAGCTTAGAGTAGAGATTTCTTTAAAGTGTAAGGCAACAAGACTTTCTATGTTTCAGGGTTTCTAAATGAAGATTAACTTTAAATACTTTGGTGTCAACCCCCAACCCTAACACCCAAAATTCTTTGTAAAATCAGCTTTTGTTGCATATCTTTTGGGGGATCTCCATCAGCTTTTCTCATTTAACAACGTAAATGTTTGCCACTCATCTTTGCAAACAGGCAAAAGCTCTGTTAGATTAAGGAATATCTGTGAACATCAATCCTAAAATCATGCAACAGATTATCAGTTGAATTCAGGTTTTGGGCTTTGATGTTTAGGGTCATCTTCCTGCTGGAAGGTGAATTTCCATCCTAAATCAATGTTTTTCTGTCTTCTGAAATTCACGTAAAAATAGAAGAAAGTTTATAAATGCAATTTGACAAAATGCAAGCCGCTATATTATTTACCACATGCTCTTAAAGTTTATGGTTTCTGCACATTCTGCAAGCTGAACATCCATGTTTGGTTCTTCCTCATGTGACGTTACATGCAGCCTAGGGTTTATGAGTCCTGTAAATTTTACAGGGAATAATAAACTTCCTTTCTGCTCATAGACTTTCAGCCATAGCAATTCTCTCTCCGGTGTCTGGTTCTCTGACCCAAACTTGTGTCTGTTAGGTATCTTTTAACACATGCTGCTCTAAGCAGCTTCTGCGTTTAACAAGTGTCAAGCCCTGCATGCAAACATAGCATAGAATATGTGGTTTATAGACTTATTTAAGACCTGAGCAGCTCACCTCTGTTGCACCTCATCTTGACACAAACTGCTGCAACAGTCGCGAGCAAAGGTAAAGGTTTGTGTTCCTTCAGCGCAGAGCCAGGTCTATCTACAAATGAGCAGAATCAACCATTGTTAAAGTTCTGGCCTCTGGATCGGTTTATGGAAAGTGAACTGTGTTTAAATGTCTTAGGCTGAGTGGCATTAACTGTTATTTCAGTCTGGCGCATAATTGTTTATACCGATGGCTTTAGAATTAGCAATTTTAATTAACAAGGAAGCTTTTTTTCTAAATGGTGTTTTTTTTAAAGCAAACAAATATAACATTTCTAATATTACCAATAGCTCTTTCAATAATCAGTGAAGCAGATGTTGGTATTAGAGCTACTAAAACCCTTTTGCTGTTACTTTTGATAATAATAATTGAACTTAATTGATCTCACATTGTAGAAATACACCTCTGCATTGAACCCATCCCCTTGAGGAGCAGTGGGCTGCCATTGTGCAGCAACCGGGGTGGGGTTAAGGGTCTTTGCTCAGAGAGCCAGAGTTGCAGTATGTGGGAGTGGGGTTTTAACTCAGAACCTCGTGTT